TTTTGGGTTAATTATAAGATTACCTAAATAAATGTTATATGAATTCATAATGATGTTTAAAAGATATTTAAACATGTGATTAGCCAATAGGGTTAAGTTTGTATGAAAGAAATAGATTGTTTATGCATAGAATATGATATGAAGAATTATATAGAATGCATATTTGCTTGAAGTGTATTAGAAGCACAAATGAATATTTTAACTTAATTATGTGATGATTAAGTTGATTTGTACAAGGTTTGTAATGGCGGTCAACGACCACGTTGACCGGTGGATAATGGATTAATTAATACCGGTCGATATTAATTAATTGTACATTTACATAATTGCATGGCTTTGCATGGAATGTGATACATAAGTTTTATGTATTGAATTAGTTATGAATGACTAAATATGATATAGACCCTATCTAGCGTGATATGTGGTAAGTCATAGGTCGGGTGGAGTACCCAAGGATCGGGCGGTTATCCTCAAAACTCGGTTATATAGGGTGGAGTACCCAAGGATCGGGCGGTTATCCTCAAAACTCGGTTATATAGGGTGGAGTACCCAAGGATCGGGCGGTTATCCTCAAAACTCAATTATAGGGTGGAGTACCCAAGGATCGGGCGTGTATCCTCAAAACTCATAGATTACATTTAATGATCTAGGACCGGGCGGTGTCCTTATGATAATTTATTTGACCAAGGAGGAGTTCTATACACTCATAGGTATATGGGTGGGTTGGGATTTAAGTCAAGGATATTGACTACTATTATTTTCCCAAATAAACAATGACCTACGGGTCGGGTATTTCCAAGTGTATGTATACTAATATGTATTTCAAACTTGGGGGAAGGACTATACGTATATGTATCATCCTATGTTTGGGTCTTATACTTGAAACGCTAGTTATTCTATATTTAGCCTGCTACTCGCTCGGTACTTGTACTGACCCCTTCGGGGGGCCCCACCATTTTCAGGTTGAAGCTAGGGCTTGCTACCTGCACCTTTCTACGGGTGACATCAATCAAGGAAGACGTGGTTCGTGCTTCCTCATTTTATTTCAAATTACCAAACATTGCTCATGGATATTTTTATTGTCATAAACTATTCTTTTGGGGCTTGCATGCCCATGATATTGGCCGGTTGTGGCTTATGACTTACCGTTGAATATTTCCGCTATTCATTGGTTTAAATGTGATGTTGTTATGTATGTTTACCACTGAGTATGGATGGATTATTTTCTCGAACGCCTTGTGTAATCAAGTGAGGTTGACTCGCGGGTGACGTCACTTGATTATGCGGCGGTTGTACACGCGCTTGGATTGCGGTCTGGGGCGTGACATAGAAGGTAGAGACTTTTGTGTGCCAAACATGGCCTTAATTATAGGGCTACAGGCTACCTCTAATTAAGTAGCTTAATTATCTACTCCGCATTAGAATTGCCCAGTTAAGAATGCGACAATTACTTGTTTGTCAATGACATCTTATACATATAGGGATATCAAATAAGCCCCGAAAAAGTCAATTAGGCCTCGTAGTTTACAAACACTCAATTAAGTCCTTGAACTATTAAAAAACGTTCAATTAAGCCCTTTTAGTCGGTAAGTAACCGGTTTCCCGGTTAAACGGCGACGATGCGCTCAAACCTCAGCAACGGCGGCTGCCGAGAAACGGGTTACATTTAACCGGGAAACCAGTTACTTACTGACCGAAAGGGCTTAATTGAACGTTTTTTAATAGTTCGATAACTTAATTGAGTGTTTGTAAAGTACGAGGGCCTAATTGACTTTTTCGGTATAGTACGAAAGCTTATTTGATAGTTTTCCCTATACATATACGAAGTATATAGTATGATTGCTTCTCCCTTAAAAAAGTGATTTTTTGAAGTGATTTTCAAAAAAAATGTTAAATAATAAAAGTTGGTAGTGTAATAGTCTTTGAGAAAAGCACTTTAAAGTACACTTCCACCATGCTTTCAGCTTTTAGCGTGCTTAATTTAAGTAGAAGTTATCATTGAAAAACACTCATTTCAGCATTTTTAAGCCAAAAGTTGAAAAACAATTTTTTTTGCAAATAAACACTCCATACATTCTCATGTTTTTAACCGAAAATACAAACCATTAAGAGGCCGTTTGCAACACTGTTTTTCGGCTGATCAAGCTTATCATCCAACTTTTTCACCAAACACATAACTTTTGCTTTCATGCGCTGAATTGTGTAAAAAGCAGAAAAAGTAAGGTTGAAGTTACTTTTCTGGCGGTATTTATTGAAGTTATTGTAGATGATCATTTTAGCTATTTTTACATACTCCGTATAATTTTTCTTTATTTTATTAATAAAATATAATTTAAAAACATTTTTTTTCTTAAATCAGCATAATCAGCCAATGCAGCCACTTCAGCCAGAACTTCATAAATTTTAGCAGAATCAGCCAAATCAGCCGATTTTCATGCTACCAAACGAGCTCTAAAATCACCGAGATAAATAAATTTATCAAATTTTATTACGTAAAATATAATACAAATACGTTCTGAATTATGTACTATCGTATATCATATTGAGAGAATTAAATAACTTTTGAAAGTTAATAATATTGCTAATTGTGTACTACGGAGTACTCCGTATCATATTGCGCCCACCCCCTTGTTGCCTTAGCGACATCAAATGCTCTCTCTGGTCCTTGTTAAAGTTCTCAGTTTGACTTCACACAGATTAAGAAAATAAATTTGATTTTACTGTGGAGTGCACTGTTTGGCACTGTTTGGACACTGTTTGACACTGTTTGAGACTGTTTTGCACTGTTTTGTTTCCTAAAATGGAAGTGTGAACTTAAATAAGGGACATCCCAAAAAAGAAAGTGAAAAGTTTAATAGGGAGTGGAGGGAGTAAGTCATTTGGTAAAGCTTATTGAAAAAAACCCTTTTTAATATTTTCTAAAAGGTCGTTAGAATTTTTTTCGAGGGATCAAAATGACATGTTCGACAACGACATGAAACTTGTAGCAACTAGCAATGACACTGATAGTAACTTGTAAAAATTGATTGTCGACCGTAACACACTCATATAAATAGGTAGTGACATTCATAACTTTTGAATTGTATTGCATTGTTAGTCACATTTTTTGCCAAAATCTTTTGGAGTTGAGCTTCAATAATAATGTTTTCTTTTGGACTGTTTTCAGTCCCAGACCAGACCAAACCAGACTTAAACACACCAGACCAGACCAGACTTAAACAGACCAGAACAGATCAAACTTTTGTAGTTATAAAATACACAGAGACTAGATCACGTTTACCTGACCAGACTTAAACAGACCAGACCAGACCAGACCAGACCAACAAATTTCGGTCCAAAAGAAAACATCCTAAATATGTAAAGAAAATCTATAGAAAAATACTACGGAATACTACGTACGTAACTATTGGAGTAAGAAATAATATCGTATAAAATCGTATTGTATCTCTTGAAATAGTATTCAGTAATTGAAATTACTACAGTATTATCGTGACTTACGATGAGTATTTAAGTACTCCGTATTAAATTTGTTTTGTCCCAATAGCATAAAAGTCCGTATCCTACTCCACTGCACCATAATCAACAAAATCATCTTTGAACTCGCTAAATTAATCATCTCCTCTGTACAATTAACAAATAGAGAAAATGCATTGCATCTAATATAATATAGAAAAAAGATACAGAACAGCTGAACAGGAGTTAGTACAGTATGAATATTGAAGTTAAATATAAGTAGATATCGAAGACCAGTTTTTGTTGCATGTTTTGTCGCATTGAATACTGGATTATTATATACTTCCTATATAATATATGCGCATTTTGTGCGTGTTAATGGCAACATGGCTCTTGTTTGAAGGGAACATGCTATGTTGTACCTAGTGTAATTTGATTAGTTTTATTCATACATGCTTTATTTATTACTCCATATCATTGTGTTATTTTAATTTTGTGTTATGATTTCCTTTTTACATAATTGATAAAATTGAGAGAATTAGAATGTTTGTACTTTGATTTATTTCATTCCTAGATCATACGAGACTTAAACGAATCATATCAGACTTTAATGAATCAAATCAGATTTTAGCAATTGCAAAATACATAGATATTATACATTTATTAGACCATACGAGAATAGGTCAGACTAGACCAGATTTAAACAAAGCAGACCAGATTAAAAAATTTCATCCAAGTGAAAACATCCATACATGCCATCCAATTTATACGACCAGATTAAGTTCACCATCACAAATTTTTACTTTACTTTTTCATGTACAAGTTAAAATTAGTCGAATTTTGTTGGATGCAGATAGAACCATTCAAAAGAAGAGAAAGTAAGGGTGTGTTTGGAACTAATTCTGCTTCTGCTTCTTTTGTTAAAGCAGAATCAGAATCAAAATCAGTTTTTGAAAGCTGGTTTCTCCCATCTTCTGAAGAAACTGCTTCTAGGAATAAATTAGAGCACCATAAGTACTTTTGCACTTTCACCAAACACTCTAACTTTGGTTGAGCAGAAACAGTTTTAAGAATTAGATCCAAACACCCCTAAGACTAAGGATGTTTTCTTTTGGACTGTTTTCAACCCAGACCAAACTAGATTAGACCAGACCAGACTTCCGTAGTTATAAAATAAACAGATACCAGACGTTTACCAGACCAGATCAGTTCAGACCAGACTGGACCAGACCAAATTTCGGTCCAAAAGAAAACATCCAAAAATGAGAACCAATCAACCAAGTGATATATTACGAAAAAAGTCAATATGAAAAATGAATTAAGTACTAAAAACTTCCTAAAAAGGAAATTGCTCTAAGAGAAAAAAAGAATTATAAAATGAAGTGAAAGTATGGTCAACAAGACAATTCCATACCATAATACAGAGTAATAAATTTTACGAAGATTAGTTAGCTGTTAGCATCTTTTTCATTTTTTCTTTGCTGTGCGTCACCATATGAGAGGCTAGCCGCTAGAGCTAGTAACTAACTTTCCATGCAATGGTGAAAAACAATAAAATAAAATAAAGAGAAAAGGGAAGAAGGCGCTAATTACACATCACCACACACGCCACTCCCTCTCTCTCTTCTTCTCTCTCTTTCTTTCTCCCACCACTGTACTAACATCCTCCATCTTATCATCCCTTCCTACCCAACCTTTCGCATTTTGCTACAAGCCTTCCTTTCCCAACCCTTAGCGCCGCCCTCAACTAAGATTTCAGCCATTCTTGTAACCCATATATTTATTCTTTTGGTTTCTTGCCTTTTAAATCTACAAAAGATTGAGTCTTTGGAGATATATTCTTCTACCGAAGAAATTCTTGTGGCCAGTTCTCTCAATTGAAGTATATAAGCTGTTCTTTGTTGAATGAGAGGAAAGTCATGTGTGTAGATCTTAGCTGGAATCATGAATCTATCTGGGTAGATTTTCATTCACTGCTTCTGGGTCTGAGTGATGCTGATTAGCTTGGGTTAATGTTTCCCCCCTTTTGGAAGAGTTTCTGGGAATTTGTGCTCTGATCTGCAACTGCCGCAAGATTCCGACTTTCTCTTTCTTGATAGTTACTACTTTGGGTGTGTCAATCTGGCAGGCCTATAAATGGAGGCCAGGATTGGAGGTCAAGCTCAACTGTTTTATAATTTAGGCTCAGCAGATTTGAGGGTTGTCGGGAACAGGAGCCTGGATTGGGATCCCTGTGATTGGAAATGGGACAGTCATCTTTTCCGCGCCACGCCTATCAATCCCAACCCACCAAATTTCCAAAGCAGGGAGTTTTTCCCGCTCCAAACAGGAATCTCCACATCCAACAGCTCCTCCTATTGCTCTGATGAAGTGAATATTGTGTCTAGGAAAGAGGTAAGGGGGTTTGAGAAGCGGCAGAGGGTTGTTTTCGTGGAGGATGAAGATAACCTTGAAGGCGAGACGGGCAATCTCACCTTGAGGCTTGGGGAACATGGATCTCCTAGTGATGAAAGAGAAGGGCAAGCCTTGGATGGAACAGTTGGGAAAAAGATCAAGCTCTCTGGATCCACTTCAATCCGAGGCGCCGCTTGTCAAGTGGAGGATTGTGTGGCAGATCTCAGCAAAGCTAAAGACTACCACAGAAGGCATAAAGTTTGTGAAATGCACTCCAAGGCAACCAAGGCACTTGTGAGCAACATTTTGCAGCGTTTCTGCCAACAGTGTAGCAGGTCAGTATATGAATTTTAATGTGCTCTCCCATCTCATAACTTTCATTTTGATTGATCATTTCTGGAGAGGCTGGCATATTATGCACTTCTATCAAGATTGGTCTTTTCTAACTTTGTGACTCTAAACAGTTTAAATTCTCAATTTCTGAATAGTTATGTTCCTTTTTCTGCAAGTCTTTTGAAGCTGTAAACTAAGAATACGTCTGAACTCTAAAGTTCAGCATTTTATTGCCACACTAAGTTGCAGATCTTGGTCCTGCAAAAGACCGTTATTTAGTGTCATCAAATTTATCTTGTATCTATAGGTTTCATGCGCTTGAAGAGTTCGATGATGGGAAGCGTAGTTGTCGAAGACGACTAGCTGGTCATAATAAAAGGAGAAGGAAGACTCAACCAGAAACAGTTGCTAATAACAATGCAATGATTGATAACAATAATAGCCAAGCTACTAGTTATCTTTTGATGAGCTTATTTAAGATACTTGCCCACATGAACGGTAAGTAATCCTCTTTTTCCTCTATATTTTATGTTCACCATATTGTCTTATCATCAAACTTAGACGTTTATCAATGTTTTTTTAATACCATGAAATTTATCTTATTTTTGTAACTGCAGCAAACACGGGGAGCTCCAAAGAGGACCAGAACCTTCTCTCTCACCTACTAAAGAATCTTGTTAGCCAGGGTGCCTTGACCGGAGACAAAAGTATATCTGGCATTCTAAACGAGTCTTCGAATTTGCTGAGCAATGGACCCACTTTTAGAGATTCAGAATTAATATCTGCCTTGATCTCAAATGGGTCTCCGGCGTCTTCACCACCAAAAGAACAAGCTCCCACTGCTTCTGTGTCTAAGTTACCAATAGAAGCAGTTAGCATGTTTCCTAATGAAAGCAGTTCCTTGGCTACTGCATTGGGTCAGGAAAGTTCTGCTGGGAGGAGTAAATTGGCTGTTTTTGATTTAAATGACATTTATATTGATTCGGACGATGGTGTTGAAGATGTAGAGAGGTTGCCTGTCCCAGCTGATTTGGTTGCTGGCTCCCCGGAATGCCCATCGTGGGCACAAAAGGACTCCCATCAGTCAAGCCCACCTCAAGCAAGTGGGCATTCAGACTCAGGTTCCGCACAATCACCATCCAGTTCCAATGGAGATCCTCAGGTACAGTATATTTGTTCCTACCTTTGCACCATTGGATTAGTCATTTTTTACCTAAATCCATCAATGAATGTAATTTGTTATGTTGTAACGTTGTAATAACTTTTTGTTTTTTGTACTGTAGAGCCGCACTGATCGTATTGTTTTTAAACTATTTGGAAAAAATCCAAACGACTTCCCATTTCTTTTACGTGCACAGGTACAACATTAAGCTCTTACGCACCTCTTTTTCTATTTCATATTTTTGGAGGTTGAGTGCCTTGCTCATCATTCCCCACCAGTTCAATAACTTTTCTATTTTGATATTGAATGACAGATTCTGGATTGGCTATCTCACAGTCCTACTGACATGGAGAGCTACATTAAGCCTGGTTGTGTCATACTAACTGTATATCTTCGTCTACCTGAATCTTCTTGGGATGAGGTATGGTTGCTACCTCAAAGCACGACTTTTAGACAATTTGTCTGCAACTACTTTAGAATTTGTCAATATTTGGGCTTTGTATTGCTTTTGTAGCTTTGCTGCTGTTTGGGTTCCAGTTTAAGCAGACTTCTGGATGCCCCTGAAGATAACAGTTTCTGGAGAGATGGATGGACTTATGTTAGAGTGCAGAACCAAATAGCATTCCTGTGCAGTGGTTTGTTCACATTATATGTTATTTGGATAGTCTACTACTTTACTCCCATTCCCTACCAAAGAATAGGAAATTGTCTTTGTTTACTTCCTAGTTCATATTCTAAGATGTTTTTTTAACCTTTTGAACTTTTCCTTGTTATAGGTCAAGTTGTAGTGGAATCTTCTCTGCCTTTCAAAAGTAATGAAAACAGCACAATTCTAAGTGTCAAGCCTATTGCTGTACCTGTGTCTGGGAAATCTCAAATCACAGTGAAAGGATTTAACTTATCTGGGCCCGCCACAAGGTATGATATATGTTACTTTCAAGCCACAGGCCCACAGCCTTTTTATATAGATTTATTTCTTCTGGGGTACAGTTTTGCTTAAAATAATGTTTGTAGATAATCTATTGCTCCGACACAGCGATACTCTCCATGAAGATGCAAATTTTAAAATTTTGTTGTGGTAAAGTACTTTTGCATAATTAAATTATCATCACCATCACCCCAGTGCCACAAAGGCTCCCACCTACGGTGGGGTAAGGGGGAAGGTCGGATGTACGCAGTCTTACCCCTGTACTAAAGCACATAGAGACTGTTTCCGGATGACCCATAGTGAAATTTGCATCGAAAATTGCATGGACTGACTACTACTTCATAACAAGGAAGTGCAAATAGTTTAATGGGCCATTTTGCTTTATTCCATCATATTTCCAAGCCAAAAAATAGTGAGTCTTTGGCTCCATTGCAAAAGATGAAAACTTTTGCATAATTAAATAATTGAATATTTTTCTGAAATCTTGATTTCCTCTTCCCAGGCTGCTCTGTGCAATAGAAGGCAACTATCTTGTTCCAGAGGCTAGTATAGAGACAACAGAACATAATGATAATGACCTTGAGCAGTGTGATATGGTCGAATATGTAAACCTTACATGTTCTTTTCCTGCAGCTGCTGGAAGAGGCTTCATAGAGGTGAGTTATAGCTGACTTCCTCTGTTTTCCAGCCTTCTCATTTTATGTGAGCTTATACTTCTCGTGCCAAATGGAATCCAATATGTTTCTAATAGTACAAAGCAAGAGGGTCTTCTTCAAATAAATGATGGTTCTGTTACCTTTGTTTATCCAGGTTGAAGGTGATGGTCTTGGTAGCAACTTTTTTCCTTTTATAGTTGCTGAGCAGGATGTTTGCTCTGAAATATGTACACTTGAGAATGAGATTGAGTTGACTGAGAAAGAGTATCTTGATGGGGAAGTTGATAAAATGGAAATAAGAAATCAAGCCATCGATTTCCTACACGAGTTGGGCTGGCTTCTTCATAGAAGCAATTTGAGATCACGATTGGGGGAATCGGAAGATCCTAGTGAGATGTGCTTCTCTTTAAACCGGTTTGCATGGCTTATGGAGTTCTCTGTGGACCATAATTGGTGTGCGGTTGTGAAGAAGCTGTTGGACATTCTTTTTAATGGGAGTGTGGGCAGTACAGATAATCCTTCCTCCTTGAAAGTTGCCTTCTCTGAGACGAGTCTCCTTCACAAAGCGGTTAGGAGAAATTCGAGGTCTTTGGTGGAGCTGTTATTGAAATACACTCCCGATAGAGTGGCTGATGATCTAAGTGTGGAATATCGTGACCTGGTGGGATATGAAAGTGGATATTTGTTCAAACCTAATGTTGCAGGTCCTTCAGGTTTGACACCTCTCCACGTTGCAGCAGGTATAGATGGATCTGAAGATGTAATTGATGCATTGACAGATGATCCTGGAAAGGTACTCAACTCTTCTACTTAGAAATGGGCAGTCCCTTCTGTTTCACATTGACTAACGTTTTAAGTTTAAGCTCACAAATTAGGGAACTCATTAAGGTATGTTTGGATCCTAAATATACCTCCAAAAGCGGGAAAATATGATCAGGAAAGTTTTTCACATGTATGGTTTTACCTTGGTAATTGAAAAGGAAAATGAAGCATGATTAATTATTTTTAAAATTCTACATTTAGGTTTCAGTCTTTAAATAATAAGATATAAATAAAATGAGAATCAACAAATATTAAACTAAATTTGTTAATTTCAAGTCTTTTATTTTCCCATTAGTTTTCTTTCCTTCCAATTTTCCTCTCTATTTTCTTCCCATGATATTTTCCAGATTCCAAACAGACCCTAAATATCCTAGATTATTGCCCAAAAAGTCAGGTATTATATCTCCCTTAGGGGTTTAATCCTAAAAGTTCCATCTGAGAAGAGGACTAGCTCTATGTCTTTAGGTTTCTTTGATATATTTTATGTTTAGCTGATGCCAAACTACATCTAAACTACCCTTAATTAATAATCCTGCTTGAAACTGTTAGAAATGACTTTAATGCATGATTGAGATGGAAAAGAAGAAGAATGGATGTCGGTAATAATGCTCTATTGATTTTATAAAATGACATGTGCAGTGGTAGTTCTCATAGACCTTTTATCTAACACGTTTTATTACTACATGGAAACACATTTTTGGATGTTAACATGGGGGTTCTATGCAGGTGGGAATGGAAGCATGGAAGAACTCTCGCGATAATGCAGGATTTACTCCAGAAGATTATGCCCGCCTGCGAGGGCATTACTCATACATCCATCTCGTCCAGCGAAAACTACTTAACAGGAAAGCTTCTACCACTGGCCATGTGGTAGTTGATATCCCCAGTGTTTTTTCTCTGGAAGGGAAATACAACTTGAAGCAAAACAACGGTGCGGGCACAAGCTTTGAGATTTCAAGGACTGATATGAAACCCATTCAGCAGCTGGCAGCGTGCCGGATGTGTGATCAGAAGACAATTCCATACCGAACCGGCAGCAGATCTTTGCTTTATAGGCCGGCCATGCTCTCGATGGTCGCAATTGCTGCGGTATGTGTTTGTGTCGCTCTTCTGTTCAAGAGCTTACCTGTCGTCAATAACTTGTACTGTCCCTTGAGTTGGGATTCTTTGGACTATGGTTCAATCTAATTTGGGGTTAGTGCACAGCCCACCAGTAGGACCACTGCTCCCTCCTTTGTATCTGTTGTGTATGCGTGAATAAACTGTATAACTGAGGTGTCCTTAGGAAATCCCCCTTAAATATACTCCTATATTTATGTCAGTGTATGTATACCTGTATTTTTATTATTATGTTATATATGACGATATGATTGTTTTTTTGGCTTCCAGTTCAAGGTACCTATTTGTGTAGGCTTGTGTCCATTTTCTATATCCCTCGTTCAGTTTACTGGTGCATGTACTTTTTTATATGATGTTTCAGACACACACACACACACTCCACATCAAGATTGTATATGCCTTTTGGATTAAGAGGCGGTGCAGAAGGATTCAGTTCCAATCTCCATACACACACTCGCCAATGTGGGTTAACTGTTGCAGATTCCGGTTCTTGGTCTGGTTATGGGCTGTCCCTCTCCAGAATGTTGAGCTCTGTAAAAGAAATTGAATTCGGGATTAGAACCAAACCAATTTCGGGTCAATTTCAGACTAACCGGACCGGACCGGACCTTCCCTACTTGGGAATTGGGATACACACATATGATTAGTTGGTATATTTGAACTAGCCAACTAGGGGTGGACACGGGCTAGTTCCAAATTCCAATGTTCTTTATGGTAAGAACCTTGACCAGAACCTACAATAGCAGCCCAGCTCTGGGATGGGTAGAATTGAGTGCTCTGAGTATGCTTTAATTCAGTTACTAACCTATTAAAAAAACCTTTGGTTACTGGAAACAGACATGTTCAGTCTTATTTTAGAGATTAGAGAAACCGCAACTGGACCCAAAAATAGCATGTTACGGGTACTTGTTCAAGACCAGTCGCCCAGTTAAAAACCAGCATTTCCCGATTTAGAATGGGATTGTACAACACAGATTTGAGCCATTACATATTTACATCTATAAAGGTACAGTACACTGTAATTTTGTACATATTAATATATAGATAAAGAGTCATGATAAAAAGACTCTAAATACACACTGCAATTTTGTACATGCTAGTTGCTAATAAGCATGCCATAGCAATGGATCACCAACAATGTACCTTATCCAGAGGCAGGTATGTAACAAGAAAGATGTGCATCCAAATGTAATTCCATCTATAAGTATAAATACACACACATAATATGGAATATTACGCCAAAGGCCAAACATATGAAAGTAAGCTTATCTACAAAGTAATAAAAGACCAGACACTTGCATCAACATATGGAGGGCGGTGAAGGAGAAGAATTGATGAAGAAAGCAGCAGCTGAGGTGGAGTACTGCGTGACAGGAGGCACGGGTTTGATAGGGGCTTACCTGGTGAAGGCCCTTTTGGAGAAGGGATACAAAGTAAGAACAACCGTCCGTGACCCTGAAAATGAGAAAAAGGTCGGGTTTCTACGGGATCTGAATGGCGGAGCTTCACACGAAGGGAGGCTCAAGATTTTGAAAGCTGATGTGATGGTGGAAGGAAGTCTGGAGGATGCTTTTGAAGGAGTGGATGGGGTTTTTCACACTGCTTCACCTGTGCTTGTCCCATATGATGGCAACCTCAAAATGACACTGATCGATCCCTCCGTAAAGGGCACCTTAAATGTTCTCAACTCTTGTAGCAGATCAAAGGTGAAAAGGGTAGTCCTAACCTCCTCCTGCTCCTGCATCAGATACCGCCACGATGCCACCGAGCTCTCCCCCCTCAATGAATCTCATTGGTCCGACCTCGACTACTGTAAAAGCTACAATGTACGTACTCCCATACACACATATTTACTCCTCCCTATTTCATTTTCTACTTCAAGAGCTGCTGCATTAATGACCCAAACTTTTGAGGGCGAAACCTTTTTTCCTATGTACTCACTGCTTGATGTAAACTACATTTATAAAAGTTTTGGAGAGAAACAATATCTAGCTTTTAACTTGGATCTTGTCCAGTTTAGTCTTGTCTTATTTCATGTACAAAAAAAAAAAAACCTTCAGGCTAGTGTTCATTTACTTGAACTTTTTGAAAAATACAATAATTACGACCAATTATTTACCATTTCTGAGAAAGCACTACATGGGATCAATTATTTAAATTACGGACTGGTTGAAAGATCATATTTTAAACAGTATGTGTTGCGCTATGTCACGTTTCTAGCATGACACATGCAAAAATGCTACTTATGCATGCTGGTTTACACGTTCATTTACACGCCAAGTGTATATGTCTCTACGCAGATAATTGCTTTTCATTTCAACAAGGGAACTTTTCATTGTAATAAAGGGAACTATCTGTGATCCCAAATTGTCGGTAAGACAATTCACTTTTTCGGGGATGCAGCTATGATATGGTTATAAAACATAAGAAGTCCTAGAGCTATTTCTATAATTTAGTACCAAATTGGATGCAGCTGTGGTATGGTTACGCGAAGACGCTAGCAGAGCAAGAAGCGTGGAAATGGGCGGGAGATCAAGAAAGCGGGAAGAAGACGGAGTTGGTGGTGGTCAATCCATCTTTCATCATTGGTCCTTTACTCACTCCCCAACCTACAAGTACACTGCAACTCCTTCTCGCGGTAGTCAAAGGCGTGGCGGGAGAATACCCCAACAAAACTGTGGGGTTTGTGCATATTGAAGACGCCGTGAAAGCCCATTTGTTGGCCATGGAGACACCCCGTGCCGCCGGCAGCAGGCTCATTTGCTCCGGCGCCGTCGCTCACTTCTCTCAGATCATTCAGATGTTGAGGACTAAATATCCATCATATCCTTATGAAACCAAGTATTAACAGTTAGAGTATTTCGTTATCGAGAAATGCTCATCTCAGTTAATTCTGACTGAGATCACCGTCCAAACTTGTCTATTTGAGATGTTTTCAGGATGACTTTTTTGACAAAATTTTGTGATAATGTTTTTCAGATTATGTCCATAAAATGTCAGCTTAAAATTCAAACGAAAATTTAGTTAAATAAATTATTAAACAACATTACTCCAAAATTTATATAAAAAACGCACTGTTTTTCAATAATTTATTTAACTGAATCTTGATTAAATTTTAAGCTAATTTTTTTTGACATAATCTATACTCAATGAAGAATATATTCACAAAATTTCATCAAAAAATTTCACACGAAAGCACCTCAAATACGTATATTTGGATGGTGGTTCTCCTCAAAACTAACTGAGGTGAACTTTTCTAGTTCATTATCATTGCTGATTTATTATAGTGGGCCAAATCATTTTATATGTGGTATGCATATGATATATGATTGGTGTTTTGCAGGTGTAGCAAACAACAAGGAGATGACAGCCCACACAGTTTAGACTGCACCAAAGTAATGGAATTGGGCTTTCCAGCCCCTTTTAAAACTCTGTCACAGATGCTTGATGATTTCATCCTCAGCTTCCAGCAGAAGGGCTTTCTCTCATGATTTTATATCATCCTTGATTGACTTTCTAGAGAAGTTCAAAACTTCAAATAATGGAATACCATATCTATATAGTTGAGTACTTGACATTTTCTTAAAACAAGATATGTCCCTAATGTAATACATTTCCTCAAATGGAAACCATCCATTGTTAAAGGAAGTTTTAGTTGATTTATACTTTTATTTGGACTAGAAACAATCCATACCTTTTTTCTTTTCTACACCAAACATTTTATCGTACTCTTGATGCAGGAAAAGTCATCAGTCACCAACAAATCGTCTTCCTATAAGTGTCATATATTGTATTTTTCTAAATTTTAATAAAGTCATAATTTGCCTATGAGTATATTTTTAGTCATATTTGAGGACAACTCGTAAAGCTTTTCTTTGATGGAAAACCACAAATTTGTAATAATTGAAATAAGGAATTTCTGAGCACAATAGACAATGAAAAAACAAAATTACTTAGACATGCTCATGATGCTCAACAATGAGAAATGGCGACCATCAACTCATCAATAACAACTTGAATCAATAACTATCGATAGAGGTGAAATTTTTCCCAACCATAAGTTAAAGGTTCTCATACTTCTAATTAAATGAAACTAACCAATATTATCGATTGCGAAAACACATAATGAAGCAAAATGTTCCAAGTAAACTAAGAAAAAACAAAAACAATTTAAGCAATTAAAAAAGACAAAATGTTGAATGCTAGCTAAGCATCTTAATAAAACTCGTCAATGAACTCACAACTCCACCATAATAGCTTTAAAGAATACACAATTGTTGATCCGTCCTATCACAGAAATCATCGGATATTCAAGCAGGGGACAAGCCTGATGAGAAGCTTGAGTTGAGTAACATAGTTGAGAATAATGAATAAAGTGGCTATGAGAATGTATACTCTCACCGTCCCTTAAAATATTCCTAGAAATTTTTAGTCCTTTTAAGAATTCTTTTAAGAATTACGTAGTATGAGACAATGTTAAACGGAGCCAGCGCCTAGCAATGTCAAAACGGACAAAACCGTCTAAACACTGACTTGAATGTCTCATATATAACTTAGGGAGTGTTTGCGATTGCTTCTACTTTAAAAAAGTGATGTTTTAAAGTGATTTTGGAGAAAGTACTTAATAGTAAAAGTTGGTAGTGTTTGAGAAAAAAATGATTCTGAAAAAGTAAAAGTTGGTAGTGTTTGGTAAAATAAGTTCTTTTTAAGTAATAGAAAAAGTGAAAAGCAGTTTAAAGCACCCTTCCACCTGCTTCCAGCTTTTAGCTTTAAAGTGATTAATTTAAGCAGAAGCTGTCATTTGAAAACACTCTTTTCAGCTTTTTTTAATCCAAAAGCTCAAAAGCACTTTTTTTAAGGAAGTGCAAACACTCCTTTAGATAAACTGCAAATAGTAGTTTAAACGAGACCGATAAAGTTATAGATTTGATATATACCGTAGTATGTCGTATCTCTCTCCGTTCTGAAATGAAGTTTCCGGTTGAACCTACACACATTTATGTGAGATAGAGACATAAAGTTTTGTTTTGATTTTCCAAGTATACCTTACTTTATGTTAAAGTAAAAAAGTATGAAAAATACTACGCAGATAAAAAGTAGGAGCATTTGTGATTTTTTACTTTTGGTTTCCTTTTATACAAATGAGAACTTCTTTTTGGGACTTTCATAAAAGGAAAGTGGGAACTTCTTTTCAAGACGAAGATAATATATTACTCCCTCCGTCCCAATTTGTTTTGCAAAGTCAACATTTTTTGGTCAACCAATAATAAAAGTCAAACCTTCTAATTGATAATTAATTCAATTTTTAA